CCAGCATCATCATCAGCAGCATCATCAGCAGCATCAGCATCATCGTCCGCATCATCATCATCATCATCATCATCATCATCATCATCAGCAGCAGCAGCAGCATCAGCATCAGCATCAGCATCAGTATTATCGTGATCATCATCATGATCATCATCAGCATCATCATCACCATCATCATTGCATCATCAGCATCATCAGTATCATCATCAGCATCATCATCCATCCAGCCTCATCCTCCATCCTCCATCCTCCATCCTCCATCCTCCATACTCCATCCTCCATCCTCATCTTCATCCTCATCCTCACCCTCATCCTCCTTCTGCTTCTCATCCTCCTGCCTCTTGCCCTCTGCCTCCTGCATACCCCTACCCCTGCTCCTCCTCCTCCTGCTCCTCTTCCTCCTCCTCCTGCTCCCGCCGCTCCCGCCCCCTCGCTCCCCCCTTTCCCCCCCCCTCCTCCGCACGTCCGCCGGCGCTGCCGCACGCGTGCGCCGAGGTGCCAGACTGGCGTGCTGCGACACCAGCCGTGCCCACGACGTCACCGAGGGCCACCCGCCAGGAGAACTGGGGTGCTGCTGTCGCGGCCTGGCAGCCCGCGACCCCATCCCCCGAGGGGGAGGACTGGCTCAGGAAGGGGAGCGTCAACCTGGAAGCAGGTCGGGCGTGTCCTCCTCCAGGAGGACTTCCTGGAGGACAGGTGAAAAATGAGTCAAAAGATACCCCCAAAAGGAGCAACAATAGTCGACAACATCGTCCCCAGACTATTGACTTACTGTTTTTGAAAATTCTTACTGTAGAGGGACATGCCCGACTTAATCTGAAATTGGCGATACATCGCCGATCGATCGGCGATAGGCCCCCCGAAACCAGAAGCTCCTGGGCGGGGTGGACTACCGGGCCGCCCTCGGCGACCAGTGGGCCATCGGGGGTCGACGCATCGCCCCCCCCCCCCCCCCCGAGCCTCTCCGCCCCAAACAGCGAAACGTTGCCCCTGACACCCCTCCCTCCGGGGGAACACAAACACGATCGGCGTAACGAGACGTTGCCCCTGACACCCCGCCCTCCGGGGGGACGCAAACACGATCGGCGATACGCCGACGTGTTGGAGGAGCCCCAGGCCTCCGCACAAAAAAACGAGAGAGCAGCACGCCGACGAGGTCCCCAACGGCAGCGTGCATCGATACTCTCTCCCCCCCCCTCGGCCACACGCACGAGTGACCCTAGGCAAGAGCGACCTGTCGTGCGCGACCTGCAAGGGCTCTGTGGGGACACCACCGGGCGCGCAAGCCGCTGCTGTCGCACCGCATTCCACAATCAGAGAGCCCGAGCGGGCCCGCACCACAGGTTACTCCGGCGAAAAATCACTCTCACGTGTAGCCGACTTCCGACCCTCCCACCGCTGCTGCGAATCTCTGAGATCCGGCGGCTCTGGAGGAAGTCTCGGTCGCAGTGGCCTTCTCAGAGCGTTCCCGAACGCTCTGAGAGCGTTCCGGATCGCTATGCAACGCATTGATCCTCGTCATAGCCCTGTCCGATACACCCCCCCGCTCCGCCCCGCCACGCCGACGCTGTCGTTGGTCGTTGGTGGTCGTCGATCGTCGTCGTCGTCGTCATCGATCGTCGTCGTCGTCGTCGATCGTCGTCGTCGTCATCGATCGTCGTCGTCGTCGATCGTCGTCGTCGTCGTCGATCGTCGTCGTCGTCGTCGTCGTCGTCGTCGTCGTCGTCGTCGTCGTCGATCGTCGTCGTCGTCCTCGTCGTCGTCGTCATCGCCGCCGTCGTCGTCGTCGTCGCCGTCGCCGTCGCCGTCGCCGTCGCCGTCGCCGTCGTCGTCGTCGTCGCCGTCGCCGTCGCCGTCCGTCGTCGCCGTCGTCGCTCCGCCCCGCCGCGACGACCACGAGGCCGATGGCGAGCCCATAGAACTGGTTCGGCTCCTCGTGCGCCTGCGCCCGCCGGCCCGGCGCAGAGACTCCGCCCCCACGGGCCTGGCCGGGCAGCGCAGGAGAGCGCGCGCACGCGCCAGGACCCCGACTGCCCCCGTGTGAGCGTTTTTTTGGTTCGGCGTTTCGACATTGGGCGGAAGGGGGGGGAGGAGGGGGGGGTCTGGCTCTGGACCTCTGCTGAGCGCGGCTGTTTGCGAGAGTGCGTCCCATGAGGGGAGGCTAGCCAAGGTCTACTGCAGGGGGGGGGGAGGGGGGGTGCGAGGGCCCGCGCCGATCGGCAAAAAATGAATCAAAAAACGCTCACTCTTCAGGCCTCGGGAAAAATAGCAAACACTCATGGCACATTCGTCTGTCAACGCCCTCCTCCTCCCCCCAACGTTCAGAGTTGGCGGTGGGCCTGATGAGTTGCACCTCGACCGCAGCCTCCCCCGCGAGTGCCAACTTTGAGTTTGGGGGGGAGGAAGAGTGTTCAGGAATTGTTTCCCTCTACCGTTTGACAGGAGATGTGAATATAGGGGAACGAGCAATGCCATAAACATAATAACTCGGAGGTCCGCGCGGATTTCTCGGATCGGCGTTGGGGCCCCCTGGCGGCGCCTCCGGCGCCGCCCCCGCGCGCCAGGGAGGGGGGTCCAGCGCGGATCCGAGAAATCCGCGCGGACCTCCGAGTTTGTATGTTTATGTCATTCTTCGCTCCCCTCTGAGTACCCCTGACCCTTTGGGAGGGGACCTAAGTTACGGCCGGAAGTACGATCGAGAAACTGATCGTGTAAGAACTCTGGGCAAGCCGCCCACAAGTTTCTCAAAGCAATCATGGGTGCCTTTTTCTGTTATTCGCATTGGAAGGGGCGACCATGCTCAAGCTGGCCCAGCTTTTTCGGCAGGAGGTTCCCTAATCAGATGCTCGACTGTAGGAGGGCCAAAAACATTAGCAGTCGGGGATCCTTTTTGCAGATATACCAAGCGAAACCACCCATATGTTCAGAGATTTCCCTAGGCCGTGGACCTAAGTTGGGCCACGAATCATCGTGTTGTTGAGGTTTGGGGGTGTATTCTGCTTCATGGTTGTTGCCTGCCTTCCGCCGCTGCCAGTCTTTTCGGCTACGCGCCAGCGTGACCTCTGGAGCGCGGCTTGCCGATCTCCGCATGCGATGCGACGGCAGCGGCCCGTGTGTGTCTGGGTCTGCCCTCCCGGCCCACCACCACCGCCCCTCGGCGGCGACGACAGGGGCGCACAACCCAGGGGCGGGCACTACACGCATTCGCCCGGGAGCCTCGCCGAAGACATGGATCATCGGCGCCCCTGGATACGTGTAAATCGGCGGTGGACAGCCCTCCCTTTCGTAGACCTCCCTCTAGTGAGAACTGCCTGGGGCCGACACCGACGGACCTGGACCCGCAAAAAGTGACGGCCGCGGCGCCCCCTCGCGGACCGAAAGCGGCCAGGTCCTCAATGCACGTGTCAGGGCAGGAGGTCTGTCCACCCCCGAATGTCTTGCCCTCCCCCGGGCGACTCGCCCCCCGTCGCCGCCTCTGGAGGCCCCCCCCCCCCGAGCTCCGCGCACCGAGCGCCCTCCCCCGGCGAGAGAGGCCACCCTCGCGCGCGGCCGGCGCCTCTGCGGCTCGAGCCTCTCCCCGACTGCCCCGGGCCCACGGCGCGCGGGCGGTCGGGAGAAAGGCGGGCGTTTCGACATTGGGCGCAAGGGGTAAGTCGAGCCTGTCCCTTACAGGGGGATTTTCAACGAAAAATACAAAAAAAAAAAAAAAAAAAAAAAAAAAACATGGGCGCTACTTTTTGAATACTTTTTGTCCTTTTTGGTGAGTTTTTGGGGTCTTTCTATTTTTCGTCGAAAATCCCCCTGTAGGGGGGCACGCCCGACATAACGCAAGGGGGAGGGCAGGGGGGGGGTCTGGCTCCGGACCTCTGCTCAGTGCGGCTGCTTGCAGCACTGGGTCCTGTGAAGGGGGAGACTCCACCTGCTCGAAACAGGCGCCCGGAACAGCCAAGATCTACTCCAGGGAGGGGGGAGTGGGAGTTGGGGGCCCGCGCCGATCGGCATAACAATGAACAAAAAAACGATCACGAAGAGAACGGCCCAAGCATTGACTATTTGAGATCCGCTCGGATTTCTCAGATCTGTGCTGCGCCCCATTCGCTGGCGCCTCCGGCGCCAGCAGAGTGGGGTCCGGCGCCGATTCACGAAGTCCACACGGGCCTCCGAAAAATGATGTACTTGCAGTTTGCTGTGAGTTCGGCCCCAGCCCTGGTGCGTGAGCGTTTCCGTTGATCTCGCCGGGTATTACAGGCGCCGGCCCGTCGATACCCTTACTGTCTTCGGTCCACGCGCCCGTCTAATGAAGATAGGTCGCAGCGTGCTGACCACACTGCAGCCAGTGCACGTGTGTAACGCGCTGCCCATCAACGCACTACATAACTATCGTGTCCCAGAGACCGTCGGCTGGGTCCCCTCCGACAGCGCTTGTCATCCGAGTAGTGACCCTCTCGCAGCTTGAACCACGTATGATATGGCGGGCTCGAGAAACCCTGAGGAAAAAAACGTAATCTCGTGAGGGTGCACGTTTTGCTTCTGCCGGCGTCCGCCAGTTCTCCACCGGCTGCCGCAGGCGGAGGCGGCCTCGCGTCTACCTCCGCCGCCTTCCGCCGCCCTTCCGCCACCTTCCACTGCCGAAGAGATGCCAGCCTCCGGATCTCCTCGGAGGCGAGGCCCAGCCTGGAGCGCCACAGATCTGCCTCCCCGATCCAAGGCGCTTCCGGGCTCGGAGCAGCAAAGCGGAGGAAGCAGCACACCAGCTCGGACAAAGCCCCAAGCTGCTCCGGCGGCGGCAGCGTCCTCCCGTGCCATCAACCGTGGAGCCCTGCTGGTTGGTGAGCCAGCTGTCTTCCCAAGGCCCTCCTCTCCTTCGATGCTCGTTCTGAAGGCCCTCCTGGAACCACTCGCTCCACTCAAGCGTCGATGCTGCGTCGAACGTCCGTCGACTTGAGTCGCATTACACCACAGAAAAACCCCAATCAGTGGATGGATTTCGCTGAGGAGATCGACCGGGAACCCGGGAGCCCCGGAACCCAGAACCCACCGAAATCGGCCCGGAATCGATAACCGAGAACCCGGGAACCCAGCCTGCTACCAAAACCGGCGGGAAACTGTCGCCGAATCTTTCAATTACACCAGAGAATACCCCAATCAATGGATGGTTGTCGCTGAGGAGATCGACCGGGAACCCGGGAACCCAGGAGCCCAGGAACACAGAACCCACCGAAATCGGCCCGGAACCAAAAACCGGGAACCCGGGAACCCGGAACAGGGAACCCGGGAACCCAGCCTGCTACCAAAATCGGCGGGAAACTTTCGCCAAATCTTTCAACTTCTGCTAGGACCCATTCAGTGCAAGCAATGATTGAAGAATTTGAATAGAACTGAATAGAACTTGAGTCGAACTTGGGTGGTAAGTAGAGTCGAACTAGAGTCTGACAGATCCGTCGGGTGACCCTAGAGAGTCCACAAAGCGAACACATATCTATCCTGCTCGCTTTTCCCAGTTTGCAGGGTTGGGCCACATGAAAGAAAGCCACGCTAGATGGCTTTGATACCGACATCACCAGAAAGGTTGGTCCTGAGACGCGTGGCCTTCATACAGCTTGAGCGCTGGGTTCGTCGGGGACGCACACTGCAATACAAACGCTTTAGCTGTTGAGTCGCCGCACAGAAACCGCTTCTCATGCACATTCAGTTTCGGCTGCGCGTGAATCGCCGCAAGCTTCGTCTGCTGGTATGTTTGGCGCTTCGCCAGCGCCTGGATTTTCGCTGCCCCTTCAGCGATTCCAGTGGCCTCCACGATGACCACCGCTCGCTGCATGATGGTCACATTCTCGCGCGGGCACAGTTGGCTCGCGGTCTCCTGCAGCATCACCTCCACCCTTGAGGAGGACAATTATCGTGTTGGGAGGAAGGGGTGGGGAGAATGAAGGACATGCTATTTAGCATTTGGATGCGGTGCACGATACCGTCGGCCGCCTACGGGTAATGATATTATCATTTCTCCCAGCCCCATCCTCCCAACCCGATATCTGTCTTCCTGAACCCTTTCTCCTCGGGGTCGCGCAAACATGGATTAGCGATCCATGGATTTGGCGCGCGGTCGTCAAGTCCATGGATCGGGGGGAGGTGCCCTCCCCAAAGTGCGGCCAATGCCGCCCCGCCTGGCGGCGGAAATCGGCGATTTCCCATGGAAACAGGACCCGTCGCTAATCCACGCCCCCATGATCCATGTTTGCAATCGCCCGCCGCCTTCCGCCAGCCCTCCGCCGGTTTCCGCCGGCGGAGGCGGCCTCGTTTTACTTCCGCCGACCTTCCGCCGCCCTTCCGCCGCCTTCCGCGGCGGAAGAGATGACAACTCCCTCGATCCTCGAAGGTAAGGCTTTTGTTTCTCTCGGGGGGTCGTGAGCGGCCACAGCGCCCAGGATGGCTGCAGCAGGGCCTCCAGCGCTTCGGGGGGAGGTACCCTTCCCTGAATGCGGCCGGCGCCGCCCCGTTCGGCGGACCTTCCTGCGCAGGAAGCAGCGAGACTTGCATGGTGCCGCAGGGCAATGGACAAAAGGCCCCTCCGCGCCGAGAGGAGGGCAGGCTGTTGCGCGGCCGTCTGGCCCAGGAAGCTGCTTCTGGTCTCCACTCAAGAAGAGGAGGAAGCAGGAGGAGGAGGAGGAGGAGCAGGAGGAGGAGGAGGGGGAGGAGAAGCAGGAGGAGGAGGAGGGGCGGAGAGGAGGAGGAGGAGGAGGAGGAGGAGAAGGAGGAGGAGGAGGAGGAAGACAAGCAGGAGGAGGAGGAGGAAAAGGGAGGAGGAGGAGGAGAAGGAGGAGGAGGAGGACATCCTCGTCTCCGAACCCTCTATTAGCCACGATAGTTGCCTGACGTTGCCGAACAGCCCAGCGTGCACGGGGGCAGCTGGCTCGGTCACGCAGCACGCGGCCTCCCCCTAAGTCCTACTGAGGCTCAGACACATTCCCTGCTCAACCCCGTATAGAACAATTGGAGCTTGGGAACTCCGGTGAGGATGCCGCTGCTGGCCATTGGCGTCGCGTTGACGGGCCACTGCGGGTGGGCCAAGACGGCTCTCCTCGCACAGCGCTTGGCGACAAGGGCGTCGAAGAGGAAGGTCCCCAAAGTGGCCATGCCCCTCTTGGGACCGCACATCTTGCGATCGACGGAGGAGAGCGTCGGCGGAACGCGCCACGCCAGTGCCCGATAACAGGGAGCCACCGAGGCACCCCAGGCTCACAGAACGGGAGCCGTGAACTCGCGCCTGGGACGCAAGGGACTGCATGCAAGAGCATCTGTCGACAGCGAACGGCAGCACCGGAGTGGCACAGCGAGGACGACATCGGGAAATGCCAGGGAGCAGATGCCTGTTCTGGCGCAAGATTGGCTTGCGTCAAAGCGGCGACGCATGGGCGGTTTCGGAAACCCTAAGCCCCAAAACGTTTTCATCTCTCGGGAGGGATTGTTCTACTTCCGCCGCCTCCCGCCGAGCCTCCGCCGCCTTCCGCAGGCTTCCGCCAGCGGAGGCGGCCTCGTTTCACTTCCGCCGCCCTTCCGCCGCCTTCCGCCGAGGAAGATGGCAACTCCTTGGGCTCCTCGAAGGCAAGGCCCTTTCTGTTTGGGGAACGCCCCTCGTGAGGGAGAGCAGGGAAGGCCTGGGGACGAGAAGACGCGACGGGGGAGCGGGGCTGTCGTGAGCCGGCGGCGCCCGTTTGCTCGCTGCCACGTTCAGCATGACGAAGCACAGGGCGAACGTGTACAGCATCTCGCAGAGGCCGGCGTTGACCCAGCCTGATGGGCAAGAGACGGCGGAACGAGCAGGGTCGGAGGCGGGAAACTGGAGCAGGCTAGTTCTCCCCCTCCTCATCCTCCTTCTCCATCTCCTCCTCCTCCTCCTCCTCCTCCTCCTCCTCCTCTTCCTCCTCCTCCTCCTTCGAGAAAAAGAATGATCAGCTGTTCGTCGTAGGGGCTGGGGTGCAGCTCTTGGAGGAGCACCAGAACAAAAGGCGCGACTTGGATGGGTTAGGATGCGACAACTCACTTGGAGCGCACCCTTCTCGCTTAATTACCCCAGTCGCAGCCATTACTTGCTGGGAGGTGGCCCGATAGCCTGTAAGAGGAGGTTCCGATGCATGTCTCTGACACGCGTCAAATGAATGCTGACTGGCGTGCTATACCCCCAAGAGGCCGACCTGAAGGTGCCCCAGAGAACGGGACGGAGTGGGCCAAGAACCTCCACGAACCCTTCACAGATGTTTGCCGCCATCCCTCCTTAACAGTTTCCCGTGCGGCACGCGCGCATAAAACGAGCACATGGCAGCGGCCATCCAGGGACGGGCAAGGGACATCCCAGCTGGACACACACACACACACTTTGGGTCGTCGCAGGCTGGGCACATCACAAGCTGTCCAAAGGTGACCGCCGGCGCGCGCGCGCCGACAAAGAAAGTAAGTGAGCCCGCCTGGCTAGGGCGAAGATAAACTGGGCGAAATCAAGAGGGCACTCATGCGATGCAGCACAAGCCCAAAACCAGCCAGAATTAGGACGACAAGGGGCCAGCAAGACAAGGGCCCAAGCAAAACGAAGAGGGAAGCGAGGAGCGAGGAGCGACAGCAAACAGCCGAAAGAGAGACAGCCGGACGGACGCGAATCTCATTGGGGCACGAAATATTCCGCCAACTTGCGACCCCTTCCGGCCGCCTTCCGCCAGGAAGAGACAGCGATGTCAACTCCTCAATACCTCGAAGACGGACCTGAACGCTTCACAAAGGGTTCCACACTTAGGGTTCCACACACGGACGGGGCTCTACACCCTGTTCGCTCCTTTGTAACCCTTTGGGGTCCACACGGCCGTGCCACTCAATTTTACGCTCGACACCTCGCAAAAGCTGCAGCGCATACAATTTCGAGCCTTCCTACCGCCGCCCAATTGGCACACAGTCGTACCTTGCATTGCTCATCACCACCATTATCATCATCATCGTCATCATCATCAACAACATCAACATTGTCATCACCATCATCATCAACATAAATATCAACATCATCATCCTCATCAGCTGCAGCATCATCACCATCACCATCACCATCACCAGCATCATCCTCATCATAATCCTCCTCATCATCATAATATGTATCCTCCTCCTCCTCCTCCTCCTCCTCCTCCTCCTCCTCCTCATCATCATCATCATCATCATCATCATCATCATCATCATCATCATCATCATCACCGACGTCCTCCTGCTCCTCATTGTCATCCTCCTCTTCCTTCTCCTCATCCTCCTCGTCATCATCTGCATCATCCTCCTCCTCCTTCTCCTGGGGCGACCCCTCCCCCGATCGCCCCAAAGAACACGGATGCTTTCTGCTGAACGAAGGGCGCGCCGGCGCGCCAGTCCCAGGAGTGGGGGAGAGGTTGAAGGTCTCCCAGAAGAGCAAGCTGTAGGCGACCTCGCGCGGAGAGCGAGCGCGAGCAGGATTTGTCTGGGGAAACAAATTCAAAACACAAACGCCTGCTCCGACCCTGCACTAACACTTGTTAACACTTGCACGGGACAACGGGTCCTGGTGTATACGCGATCCTGGTGCATACATTTGTCGCTGTTTCCCCGGAACACGGGGAAAACGGTATACACCACACCACCCCGACGTCGTTCCCGACCCTCAGAAAGTCCTGGGATAGAACAACAGCCCGCCACAGGTAACGTATACCCTCCAGTTTCCGACAGCTAGAACCCAATCGGGAGACATCGGATCAGAGCGTGCGTCGGACCAGTCTAAACTGCCACGCCGTCTAAATCGAACCCGATCGACCAGGGACTGAAAAACAGCCCGCCACTGGTAATGTATATGCTCCAGTTTCCGACAGTTAGAATCCAATCGGGAGACATCGGATCGGAGCGTGCGTCGGACCAGTCTAACTTGCCACACCGTCCAAATCAAACCAGATCGACATGGAATTGAAAAACAGCCCGCCACTGGTAATGCATATGCTCCAGATTCCGACAGAAACCAATCGGGAGACATCGGATCGGAGCGTGCGTCGGACCAGTCTAAATTGCCACGCCGTCCAAATCAAACCAGATCGACCTGGGATTGAAAAACAGCCCGCCACTGGTAATGCATATGCTCCAAATTCCGATAGGTAGAAACCAATCGGGAGACATCGGATCGGAGCGTGCGTCGGACCAGTCTGAATTGCCACGCCGTCCGAATCAAACCGGATCGACCTGGGATTGAAAAACAGTTCGCCACTGGTAATGCATATGCTCCAGATTCCGACAATTAAAATCCAATCGGGAGACATCGGATCGGAGCGTGCGTCGGACAAGTCTAAATTGCCACGCCGTCCAAATCGAACCGGATCGACATGGGATTGAAAAACAGCCCGCCACTGGTAATGCGTATGCTCCAGATTCAAACAGCTAGAATCCAATCGGGCGACATCGGATCGGAGTGTGCGTCGGACCAGTCTGAATTGCCACGCCGTCCAAATCAAACCAGATCGACCTGGGATTGAAAAACAGCCCGCCACTGGAAATGCTTATGCTCCAGATTCCGACAATTAGAATCCAATCGGGAGACATCGGATCGGAGCGTGCTTCGGACCAGTCTAAGTTGCCACGCCGTCCAAATCGAACCGATCGACCTGGGATTGAAAAACAGCCCGTCACTGGAAATACACATGCTCCAAATTCCGACAGTTAGAGTCCAATCGGGAGACATCGGATCGGAGCGTGCGTCGGACCAGTCTAAATTGCCACGCCGTCCAAATCGAACCGGATCGACCTGAGGTTGAATGACAGCCCGCCACTGGTAATGCATATGCTCCAGATTCCGACAATTAGAATCCAAGCGGGAGACATCGGATCGGAGCGAGCGTCGGACAAGTCGAAATTGCCACGCCGTCCAAATCGAACCGGATCGACCAGGGATTGAAAAACAGCCCGCCACTGGTAATGCATATGCTCCAGATTCCGATAGTTAGAATCCAATCGGGAGACATCGGATCGGAGCGTGCGTCGGACCAGTCTAAATTGCCACGCCGTCCAAATCGAACCGGATCGACCTGGGATCGAAAAACAGCCCGCGACTGGTAATGCATATGCTCCAGATTCCGACAGTTAGAATCCAATCGGGAGACATCGGATCGGAGCGTGCGTCGGACCAGTCTAACTTGCCACACCGTCCAAATCAAACGGGATCGACCTGGGATTGAAAAACAGCCCGCCACTGGTAATGCATATGCTCCAGATTCCGACAAGTAAGATCCAGTCGGGAGACATCGGATCGGAGCGTGCGTCGGACAAGTCGAAATTGCCACGGCGTCCAAATCAAACCGGATCGACCTGGGATCGAAAAACAGCCCGCGACTGGTGATGCATATGCTCCAGATTCCGACAGTTAGAATCCAATTGGGAGACATCGGATCGGAGCGTGCGTCGGACCAGTCTAAATTGCCACGCCGTCCAAATCGAACCGGATCGACCTGGGACTGAAAAACAGCCCGCCACTGGTAATGCATATGCTCCAGATTCCGACAGTTAGAATCAAATCGGGAGACATCGGATCGGAGCATGCGTCGGACCAGTCTAAATTGCAACGCCGTCCAAATCGAACCGGATCGACCTGGGATCGAAAAACAGCCCGCCACTGGTGATGCACATGCTCCAGATTCCGACAGTCAGAACCCAATCGGGAGACACCGGATCGGAGCGTGCGTCGGACCAGTCTAAATTGCCACGCCGTCCAAATCGAACCGGATCGACCTGGGATCGAAAACCAGCCTGCCACTGGTAATGCATATGCTCCAGATTCCAACAGCTAGAAACCAATCAAAAGACATCGGATTGGAGCGTGCTTCGGACAAGTCTAAATGGCCACGCCGTCCAAATCGAACCAGATCGACCTGGGATTGAAAAACACTGGCCTTCCACGTATTCCCCCAACTTCGTCTCCTTCCACCACTTGCTCGATGGCGTGACGGCTCGTTCGCTGCCGCAACTGCACTCATCCTCTGCCCCCGATCTCAGGCTGAGAGCAGCGAGGCTGCGGTACGGCGGGCAGCGGTTGGAATGACCGCCGCGCACACGCCAGAGAGCACCTCTGCGGGCACAACGTGGGAAAGAGCGTGCATCTGCTAATGAGAGAAGGAGGACAGACGCAGCCAACGCAAACACCGTAGTGTGTTGGAGGACTGGCCCTGATCAAGGAGAACTCCGAAAGGGTACACCGGGAGAGGAATGGCGCGCGTGCTTCCTTCTTGGTGCTAGAGCACACGTGCAACTCCCTTCTTGTCGTACAATGCTGGGCTACACTGGCACGTACCTGGCCGATTTGCACGTGCGACATCTCCGACGCCCTCTGCGTCCAACGGGGCGGGGAGCTGATCCTGCCATGCCGTGCTCGTGAGACTCCTCGACAGGAAACAGGATCCCTCACCAGGGACGCGCCTTCAGCGAAAAACATCGGAGCAAAGAAACCAATCAAAAACGTGGGCGCGAGGAAGGCCTGAGCCTCGCCAGAGAGCAGCGGAAAAAAATCAGCATCAACTTCCGGAGGCCCGCGCGAATGTGTTGGGTCGGCTCTGGACGCCATCTCCACCGGCGCGCGATGCGCGCCAGGGGTGGAGCCGGAGGCGCCGCCACACGGGGCCCAGCGCCGGCCCAAGAAATCCGTGCGGCCCTCCGGAAGTTTCTGTTCATGTGGAGTTTGTCTTCGAAAGAAAGAAGGAGAGCCCCGAACGCTTCCCGGGGTGCTGAGGATGTTCCTGGCCCATGGTGTCCTCAGCTCTTCGCCCCGCTAGGAAGCCCTATGGCTCTCGAGGCCACGGGGACCTGCTCGGCAAACCTGAAGACGCCCTGGGCGAGGGACACCTTCCCAGAACTCAGGCGTCGTGATTTCTGTTCACAGCGCACGACCCCTGGAAATCTGGACTCCTGCCCTCGGACCAGCCTTTCATCATGAGTCGGTCCCAGGGACCCTGTAGGCCGGAAGCGGTAAAACAACAACAGCAACAACAACAGCAGCAGCAACACCAGCAACAACAACAACAACAACAACAACAACAGCAACAACGACAATAACAACAGCAGCAGCACCACCAACAACAACAATAACAACAACAGCAACACCAACAACATTAACAACAACAGCAGCAACAACAACAGCAGCAGCATTAATCAATGTAAGATTGTTCGCTCTTATCTGCTCGCGTGTCACTCAATATGCATATCCCAAACCCTGGATACCCGCCCTCTTCGTCTCCGATCATACCCCCTTTTGGGGGTATATTCATTGAGGAGGAAGAGGAGGAGGGAGGAGGAGGAGGAGGAAGGGAGGGAAGGAAGGAAGGAAGAAGGAAGGAAGGAAGGGAAGGACGAGAAGAGGAGAGGGAGGAAGTTTCAGGCGGGGCCTGAATGGGCAGCCACGAAGGGCATACATCTATGGGGCCAGAAAGGGGGACAGCGGGGCCACTGAGCGCAGAAAGTGGGCCACGACGGGCAGCGAGGGGGCCACGAATGGCGACAGCGGGGCGACGAAACGCATGCGTATGGGACCACGAAGGGAGCGAGCGAGCGGGGGCCACGAAGGGCAATTAATCCGGGGCCACAGAATGCAGCGACGGGGCCGCTGAGGGCAGAAACGGGGCCACGAAGCGCGAACGAGCGGGGGCCACGAAGGGCTTTCGTGTATGGGGCAACACAGGGCGACAGCGGGGCCACTGAGGGCAGCAAAGGGGCCAGGACGGGCAGCGAGAGGGCCACGAAGGGCGACAGCGGGGCTACGAAGGGCATGCGTATGGGGCCACGACGGGCGACTGCGAGCGGGGGCCACGAAGGGCATATAATGCGGGGCCACAATGGGCAGCGACGGGGCCACTGAGGGCAGCAACGGAGCCACGAAGGGCAGCGATCGCAGGCGGCCGCGGAACCAGCACGGGCAGCGAGGGGCATCGAAGGCGGGCGAAGGGCAGCGAGCGGCGACTGCAGTCCAAACGGGCTGGTCGGGCGGGCAGGCCCAGACGGGCGGGTCGAGCGGGCGGGTCGTTGAAGCGTAAAATCTGCTTGAACCGCCAGGAAATACATAGCGGGAGCGCGACTCCTGAGTGTCGAGGAGCGGCATATGAATAAATTGTGAGAAGTATCAATGAGGGAGCCGCGATTCGGTGGTAAGTTGCGAGGAAGTCCCAAGCGAGAGCGCGATTCTTTAATAAATTGTGAGGAAGTATCAAACGGGAGCCGCGATCTGGTGGTAAATTGTAAGGAAGTCCAAAGCGAGAGCGCGATTCTTCAATAAATTGTGAAGAAAGATCAGGCGGGAGCCGCTGTTGTCGTAAACCGGGAGCCAACGACACAGTTTGACCCTCAAGACTTTCCCTGATACAAAACAGGGTGCAAGCCCCGGGAAGGGCACTTCAATCGAAAAAACAATGTGCACCGGACGGGGGGATCAACAATACTTATTGTTCAGAAATGAGAGTTCAACAACAGCAACAACAACAGCAATAACAACAACACCAACAACAATAACAACAATCATTTTAAGACCATTCGCCTTTATATGCTCGAGTGTCCAATAACGCGTATTTCCCAAACTGTCCATACCCGCCCTCTTCGTCTTCGATCGAGACCCTTTTCGGCGGTATATCTTTCTTCCCTGCAGGCCGGGCCCCGGCAAGCGGCGGGGCGGCCGCGGACCGTCGGCCTGGCCAGCGGCAGCGCTGATCGGCGGGGCGGCCGCGGACAGTCGACCCGACCCCAAGAGGGACGGACAGGGGACCGACCACGACGACGACGACGACGACGACGACGACGACGACGACGACGTCGAAGGCGACGGCGACGACGGCGACGACGAGCGAAAGCGAGAGCGAGAGAGAACGACAGCAGGGCCACGAAGGGCATGAAGTAGGCCACGAAGGGCGACAGCGGGGACACGAAGGGAATGCGTATGGGGCCACGAAGAGTGCGAACGAGCGGGGGCCACGAAGTGCAGATAATGCGGGGCCACAGAAGGCAACGGTGGGGCCACTGAGGGTAGCAACTGGGCCACGTAGGACAATGAGGGGGACACAAATGGCGACAGCGGGGCCACGAAGGGCATGCACATGGGGCCACAATGGGCGCGACTCCTGGGTGCCTGGGTGTCGGGAGCGCGGCGCTTGGGCAAATTGCAAGAAATTCCAACGCAAGGCTATTCTTCAGTAAGTTGCAAGCAAGTCTCCAGCGAGAGCGCGACTCCAGAGCTCAGGGAGAGCGATTCCTGAATAAATTGCAAGGAAGTCCCAAGCGAGAGCGCGATTCCTGGATAACATGCGAGGATGTCTCGGGCGGGAGCGGGGGTCCTGCCTAAAGTGTAAGGAAGTCTCAGGCGGGAGCCGTTCTTGTTGTAACCCGGGGGCCAGGGGCCCAGTTTGAGCAGGAAGACCTTCCCTGTCAAAAAACGGGGTGCGAGCGTCGAAGGGCACACTTTGATTGAGAAAAAACAGTATGCACTGGTGGGGGGATCAACAATAATTATTCTTCAGAAATGAGAATTCAAAAAACCACAACAACAGCAACAACAACAGTAGCAGCAGCAACAGCAACACAAACACCAACACCAACACCAACACCACCACCTACAACAACAACCACTACAACAACAGCAACAACAACAACGACAACAAACATAAGTTTAAGACAGTTCGCTCTGATCTGCTCGCGTGCCAAACACAACGTATATCCCAAACCCTCGTTACCCGCCCTATTCGTCTCCGATCGTACCCACTTAGGGGAATGAACAGCTTTCTTACCTGCAACGTGTATTCCGTGCAGCCACTAGTGCAGGGGAAGGGAGGACGGATGGAAGGAAGGGACACAGGGGGAGGGAGGAGGATGGAGCACGAGAGAGAGTAGCAGGAGGCGGGCTAGGAGTAGAAAACACGTGGCAGAACCAGACGGGCAGATCAGGCGGGTAGACCCTAACAGGCGGGTCGGGAAGGCGGGCGGGCCGTGGCGGCCAGGTCGTGCAGGCGGGTTGGTCAAGCGTGCGTCCTGCATGAATCGCAAGGACGTCTCAAGCGACGGCGCGACTCCCAAATAACTCGTGAAGAAATCCACAGCGAGAGCGTGCCTCCTGAGTGTCGATGGCGCGGCGTCTGAATAAATCGCCAGAAAGTCCCACGCGGGGGCGCAATTTCTGCATAGATTGTGAGGAAGTCCCAGTCACTTTAAAATTGTTCGCTCCTATCTGCTCACGTGCCATCCTATACGTGTACCCCAAACCCTCGGTACCCGCCATCGTCGCCTTCGATCGTACCCCCTTGGGTGTATATCTTCCTTACCTGCCACGCGCATTCAGCGCAGCCCCTAAAACAGGGGAAGGGAGGACGGGTGGAAGGGGGAGGGAGAAGGATGGAGCACGAGAGAAATTAGCAGGACGGGGGCAAGGAGCAGAAAGCAATTGGTAGAACCAGACGGGCAGATCGGGTGGGCAGACCCATAGCATGCGGGTCGGGAAGGCGGGCCCAGGCGACCAGGTCGAGCAAGTGGATTGCTGAAGCGTGGGTCCTGCATGGATCGTGAGGAAGTCTCGAGCGATAGCGCGATGTCCGAGTAAATATTGAGACAGGCCAAAGCGAGAGCGTGATTCCTGATCGCCGAGGGCGCATCGTCTGAATGAATTGCGAGGAAGTCCCACGCGAGAGCGCGATTCCTACATAAATGGTGAGGAAGTCCCCAGCGAGAGCGCGATTTGAGGATAAATAGTGAGGAAGCATCAGGTGGGAGCCGCTGTTGTTGCAAGAAGGGGCCCAACAACCCAATTCTGAGACCCTAGACTGGCCTTTATGAGAAACAGGGTGCGAGCCCCAGGAAGGGCACTCCAATTGAAAAAACACAATGTGCACCGGAGGGGGGGATCAACTACAATTTTCTTTAGCAGTGGGGAGTTCAACAACAACAACAACAACAACAACAACAACAACAACAACAACAACAACAACAACAGCAACAGCAACAGCAACAGCAACAACAACAGCAACAGCAACAGCAACAGCAACTGCAGCAGCAACAACAACAACACCAACAACAACAACAACAACAGCAGCAGCAGCAGCAG